CCCCAAAACCCCAAAACCCCAAAACCCCATGCATCATGGATTTGGAAAACATCAGCGAAATCTTGACAAATGATAAATAAATGATTAATCTCTAAATAAACTTGACTAATGAATAAAAATTCTACATAATCATATTTTGATTGATAAATAAATCTAATAATAAAGTTAGTATGGTATTTCTAAAGTGAGGTTTGATATTAAAACAATATCAATTACTTCAGACTCATTTTGACATATTTTATACCACTTAACAGAAATTTATGATTTTCTTAAATTATTTAAAAAATAGAAAGATTGATAAGTTCATTTTTTCATAAATTTTTTCAATTTAAATTGCTAAATAATATATCTTAAAATTAAAATATGATGAATTCATTAAATTCTTCTACTTATGATCTTAATGCATTAATTGGCATGCTGCAATATTTATACCAAATAATTTAGAACACATCCCATTAACATGAAATAATTGATTCTAGAGAATTATTTAAAAAATAGCTTTTACATAGTTCCTTAGCAAATAAACTTAAAATGAAAATAATGAAGTTCATTTAAATATTAGAATTATAAGATAATCAAATGAAAATTGATGATATTTGAGATATAGAGATGTTGATAGAACTATTAATTTAAAACAAAAACTTTACTCTGCCAACAGATCAAATTTAAATTCAACTGCAAAAAGTTTACTAAGAGGAAGCTACAAATAATATTTTTTTAGGAATATTAAAGGTAAATGACTTTTTCATCAGTGCATAACATAAAAACTATCCATACTATTAAAAATATGAAGTTATTGATAAAAAGTTAAATTTTATATGATCACTTGGAGTATTTGGTTAAGGTCTTCTCCCACAATAAGATAGAATTATAGTTTATGAGAAAGAATACATAAGCATAGTATATAATTTTTTTAATCGATAATAATATGTTTAAAAGAATGTCTTTTTGACGTCATCAAGTATATCTAAAATGCTAAATATAAATGATGATATATTTATTGCTGGATTGTTTGATGGAAGAATTCAGTTATTTAGTACTACTAATTTTAACTATTCATAATAATTCTAGATCAGTAATTTCAAATGAATAAGTGAAATTCTTTTACTAAAAAAATATAGGAACAAATATATACTTGCTGTTGGAGCTGGAAAATACGGTTATAAAGGATTAATTAAGGTTAGACTAATCAAGAAAAAGAACTGTTAGTATGAGTTAATATAAGATAAGAAAAAGCTTATTGAAGAGGGTTGGATTTATTCGATTGCTAACCTTAAATCTAATAGAATAGCTGCAATTATTAGGTTATAAATTTGCGATTATCTCTAGATATTGAATATTAAAAAAGGTTATTTGATTTACTCCATTCAATTATAAAAGAGACCACATTTATTTCCAATTCATTAATACAATTTCAACTTGAATCCTTTTGCATTTATTCAAGATTAAGAATCGATTTCAATAATAAATTTGAGAAATTACAGCAGTACCAATTTAATCGCTCTTAAATTTTCTGATTTAAAATCTCGGAAAAAGTAGTAGAGTCTAGTAAATTACAAGATCAAGGGCAAGGAGAATTTTAATACGTATAAACTTATTTACTTGAATAAAATGCAAGAATTAACATAAATTAGAGAGGTAAAGATAAAAATACCTTGAGTATCAGACTACAAATAACATTC